GGCCGCGCGCGGGCGTGGAAAGCACTAGGGGGCAGTTCACATATCAACGCGCGGGACGTGGGACAAAGATCCGACGTGCTGCGGCGTCAGCAGGAGCGTTGGGACAGGTGTACAGACGGGAGCTTGGGAACGGGGCCTCAGCGGCGCGCCGCGCCGCCACCTGGCGGCAGGCGCCCGCCGCGCCCTCCCCCGCGCGCAGCGCCGTCGTCTGGGGTTTGAGCGGGCCGCTTCAAACGCGCGGGCCCCGCCAGCGAGCGGGCGCCCCGCGGGGCCGCGCGTGCGCTGGTGCGCTCGCGGGGCCCTCCAGGGCGGGAGGGCCGGGGGTTGGGGGTCGGATGCGAGCCGGAAGTTTCGGGGGCAGCAATATGACGTCGGGAAGCCCAGCGGGGTGTGAGCGAGAGCCAAAAGGCCCGGTGCAACGTACGAGGCGCACAAGTTTGGCCAACCCCAAGCAATGGGCACAACGGCAGGTCCCTGGGGGGAATTCCAAGAGGGGGGCGCGAGGACGGGCCGCACGGCGCGCCTTGCAACAGCGGCGCCAGGGACAGCTGGGCAGCCCGGGCCTGAGGCGTCGCGCGATCTCTGGCGAAGCCCTCAAGCCCAGCGCCCAGTGGGCGAGACGGTTTCTGCAAGACGGTTTCGTAGAAACCGTCAAGCAATTCAGGTTCAGTTGCCAACACACGCGCACACACACGCACACTCACACACACACACGCACGCACGCACGCGCGGCAGCCGGCTGGCGACCGCCAACGCCTCAACAGACGGTTGCGCGCGAGCGAGCAGGGGAGACGCCCCTCTCGCAAAGTCCTTCCAGTGGGGTCAAATCAGTGCTATGGGCGCATGCGGCAGGTGTGAACGCTCCGGCAGCGGAAACCAATATAAGAAGCAGGCGTGGGGCCAGGCGCCGAGGTGTCACGGCGTATGAGGCCACGTTGGTAGGGGCCTGCGGCCTGTGTGCCCGGGCACGGGGCACCGGCGGTCACCCGCGATGCAATGGCACGCGGCGCGGCGCCGCGCGCCCGTGCGCTGCAGGTCGCGCCCTCAGGCCGCGGCGGCCTCAACCTTCCACGGGGCGCCGCCCACGCCCATCAGCTGCCCGTCCTCTGTCGTGGTGCAGGACGCGGCCGTGCCGCCGCCGCAGGCGCCGTACGCGCCGCCGTCCTCAGACGCGTCATCGCTCGAGCTCATGCCCCCCTCCACGACCTCCCCCTCCTCCCCCTCCTCCTCCTCGTCACCGTCACACTCGCCGGCGCTGCCGCCGCCGGCCGCGGCCGCGCGGCGCCGCTGCATCACGGCCTCCACCACGCCGCGCAGCGCCGCCGTCTGTATTGGCTTCCGCACGACCTCGTCCGCGCCGCACGCAAGAGTGTGCTGCCGCACCGTGAGGCCGGCGCCGCCGCCGCCGCCGGAGAGCTCCGGCACCCGCTCGTGTTGGGCGCAGGCGGTGCAGGCGACGATGGCGACGCCGCCGTCCTTGGGGCCGCGGCGCGCCTCCAGGCGCCTCATCTCAATGGCGGCGTCCCAGCCGTCCATAGCGCCCGGCATCTGAAGGTCCAGCAGCACCGCGGCCAGGGAGGCGTGGTGGCGGGCAAACATCTCGACCTTTCGAGGGGAGATTCGGGATGGAAGGCGGGGGGACGGGGCGGGGGAAAGTGTGAGGGGTGCAATCGGGAAAGCCAGAGCAGGGGCGCCGCTGCAGCTCTTCCGCACATGAGACTGAGGATTTCAAGCAACATTTGAATAATTGAAGACAGTGAGACGAATAGGGCGCGCAGACGCGCTCGCGCGCGCGTGTGTGCGCGCGCATGCCGCCCCCGCAATCTCTGGCATAATCTAGGGGGTGACAAAGCAGGCGCGCATGCTGCTCACCGCCTCGTCGCCGCGCTGCGCCAGGACTACGGTGAATCCAATAGACTGGGCCTGCAGAAGCATCGTGTTGGAGAGGTATGGTGCGAGCTCATCAGGGCGCGGGAGTCATCGGTCGCGCGGGGGCTGCGGGCGGATTGCGGGCACTTTTGCAGGCCCGGCCCGAGATTCGCCCCGCGCGCGCCCACGCCGCCCGCACGCACCTGCGCTGCCAGGACAATCCTGTTGACTGCCTGATCGTCGACCACCAAGACTGTGTTACGCGCTGGCGTGGGCGGCGCCCATTGCGGCGCGCAGGCTGCGGCATCCGCAGGTACGGGTAGGCCGCCGGGCGACAGCACTGTCATCGACCAGGAGCACGGCATGCCGGCTGTGCCTGGGCTGGCCGTAAAAACCTCTATATGAGCTGTGAAGAGACACGCAGCTCGCAAGTGGGCGTCCTGAAGCAAGGGGGCGAAATGCGCGGGTGCGGGCGTGAATGGTGCTGCTTTTTGACAACGTTTATGACTTCATTATGTGGCGAACACTATTGGCAATTGGGTTCTATCAAGCCATTCACACCAAACAAATCCGCGAGGCGTCAAACCTTGGATCCGTATCGAAGGCAATCTTCATCAGCTTCAACGGATGTGAAACACTGGGGCGTGCCGGCGATACGCGCAGCTATATTACAGTAGAGTAAAATTTCTCGCGTAAATAGGGTTGCAATAGCTCTAGCACAAGCAAGGAGGTAGCATATGCGACGCCGCCGTGCTGTGCTGTGCTGTGCTCCTGTGCCTGATGGTCCCCCCCCCTGCATGCAAAAGCTCGCAGCCAAAGAACGGCGGTGATGATTCTTGAGTATGCCAAAATGTTGCAGACTTGATTGTCACTGGATACATATCAATTTGCCCGCCGCTGGAAGCAATGCCACGCTCCCCTCGCCCATCCTAATCTATGACACTGGTGAGCCCAACCCACCAGGGACGGATAATAGGTGTTGCAGCACCATGTTCATATCAATGCAGCAATAGCACATGTTGGCCTGCAGGGTTTCATCATAGGTGTAGCCCCTGACTGTGATTGCAGAATCACCATCGTTGCATAGCCAAACTACTTACCGGTACGCGCACTCACCACAAACTGTGGCGCAACGGCCCTGGAATTTCCAATCGTGTTTGCGAAAGCTGATGTCATGATCTGGGCACCACCCATCTCGTGCAATGGAGCCCCTGGCACCCATGACGGGTTGGTCGGGGCAGCTGGGAAGGGTTGTGCGAATGGTGAGCCCCAGCAGGCACGCTCAAAACTTCTCATAGGTTGCATCATCCAATTGACAAGATAACACCCTCAGCAACAGGTGGATGCGGACGTGTCAACGCGTGCAAATCGCCCATTGCGGCCCGGCATGACCCCGAGGCACATGCGCACCCAAGCTACGACAACCCACGGCCTAGCATCATGGCAACCCATGCTGCCACACACTGCTTTTGAGATCAAGACTGAGTTAATTCCACACTGGTTGCCAGGCCCCTCGGCAGGCAACCGCTGAGGCAGTGCCCTTGATGCCCAATGAGTGCGCGGGCCGCCGTCGTCACCTGCTCGTCACGCGATGCACCTGGCCTGCAGTACCGGTATATGCCCACAGAGATTGCGTGTAGTATGACCATTGGTCATTGAGCCTCTCATGACGCTGCTTACATATCCCTGATATCGGCCTTGTTGGTGTTCGGGCCGGCCAGCGTTGGCTGTGGTTCACCCCGATACGTGCGCCACCAACGCAGTCATCGTGTTGCAAAGTGCTCAAGTCGTTCTTCAAAGCGCGTTGGAACCGTGCCTTTGCTCAAGGGCTGCGCAGCGCGACCCCTACCCAAAGCGCCGCTTGCCGGTCTGTCGTGCTCAGCGCACCGCCCAACTCGGCATGCTGGCTGCCAGCGGCGCAGCTGGGACGCAAGCCGCGGGCCTGAACACAATGACCGCCTCGCTGTTCTCGTCAGCCGCCATGGCGGCGATGGCCGCGGCGGTGGCGTTTGTTGTCCTTGTCGCGAGGGCGGCGCTGGCCGTGGTAACGGGCGTGACCCAGCACCGCCGCCTTGACCTGCCGTCGCCCCCAGAGCCCAGCCTGCTGGTGGGCCACATGCGTGCGCTGATGTCAGACATGCAGCCGATCAACATGGAGGGGTATGTACGGAAGTGGGGGCCCCTGTTCAAGCTGCGGGTGATGTGGCGCAGCATGGTCGTGCTTACAGACCCCGCAGAGGTCGCGCGTGTAAACAGGTGTGTGTGTGTATGTAGAGAGAGGGGCTGCGCAGGTTGAACATGGGTCCATGCTCGAGGATCAACTATATAACGGGACGCACGCTTGGGGGAGTGCCGCGAGATGCGCGGCAGAGTCGCGCAGAGCCAGCGTCTGCAATAGCTGATTCGCCAGCAATCGCACGACCCTCGCGGCCGCCCGCCCGGCGCTCTACCCTGCAGGCTTCCTGGCGTGAGCAAGCCCCCGAGATACCGTGAGCGCGCCGCGGGCGCCCTGGGGAGCCCGCTGCACCGCCGCAGCCCGCCTTTGGCGGGTGGGAGGGTCTGGTGGCCTCACCTGCCTGCTCTCCATGACACAGGTGGCGCCCGCCCGGCTTGAGCGTGCGCAGCTTGCAAATTTCTGTCGTCAGCCGCCTGGCCGAGCCCGGCGGCCATCGATTGCGCGCATCACATCCCAGCCTTCCACGCCACATCATGCCCTTGCAGGCGCGTTTGACCTGCCGTCAGTGCAGTCAGAGTCGATCCTCACCGCCGCAGGCGGTCCCTACCACAAGGCACGCTGCGGGTCAGGGGCCGCGTTTCCAGCATGCAGCTGCGGTCTGCTTGAACGGGGTGCAATCTTTGCTGGTGTCGGGCGCGCGCCTCACGTCTGCGGCCTCCCCTTTGGGGTCCTGAGCCATCCCTCTTGGCATCGTTCGCGCGTGCCGCGGCCTCCCACCCCGCCCAGGCCGTGCGAACCGCAGTGGCGCCCTGCTTCAGCATGACATCACTGAAGAGGGTGAGGGGCCAGGGGAGCAGCAGCGCGAGGCACGACACAGCCCGCCTACTGCCAGCCAGCGCCCGCTGCGTGGCACTGTGCGCGGCGCAATCGCACACCGACCCGCCTCAAACTGACCGTCAATCTCGCACCGTCATCAAAAACTCCCCCGACCCCACCCGTGCCCGCAGACGTTCCCTTGGCTCCTGCACCTGTGCCAGCTGGCGGTCGCTGAGCTGGCAGCGAAAGGGCCCTCCGGTCCCGTGGACATCGGGGATCTGGCGGGGCGGCTGACGAGCGACACGCTGGGCGACATGCTGCTCGGGTGGGTGCGGGGCACGTGGCGGTGTGAGGGCAAGAGCGGGCTGGTACGGTGGGCCAGGCTCCGGCCGGGACGCAGTGGAAATGTCGATTCTGTTGCAGATTTTGCAGACGCTGCAATGCACTGGCACATGCACTGATACTCCCACCTGCGATTCCGCTCGCGTTCGCGTTCGCCGGTCCAACGCTCAGTCTGCATGCCTGCGCCGACCCCGCAGGCAGGACTTTGGCAGCATGGCGCGCGGCGCCGCGGTCGACTACATCGCTCTGGTCCACGCGTTCCTGGCCGCCGTCCAAGGCCGCATCAACGACCCCCTGGCAAAATGGCGCGTGGGCGCGGAGGCGCGGCGCGTGGCAGCGGCGTACGCGGCGTGGGACGCGGCCATGGTGGGCGTCGCGCGCGAGGTGCTCAAGGCGACCCCACCAGAGTACACGATCGCAGGCGCGCGTGCAGTCGGTTGTGAATTTGGGGGCTTTGCATGTGCGGGTGGCTGCAGGATTGTGCTTGGGAGTGTTGTCGGGGGTCAGGAAAGAGTGCCGGCGGATGCGTGCCTGCGTGCGTTTTCGGGTGTCGAGGAGGGGTAGCGGGGGGCCTCACCCAGCCTGAAGGCCAATTGGTTAGGGTGCAGCACAGTCAGCGGCGGCCGCGAGACATCTCTCAGCTGCGCTTGCTGCATCTGTGAGCGCAGCCCACCACGCTGACTTTACCCTCCACCTCCCCCGGCACCTGCCCCTTGCTCCACCACCAACAATGCCCCAGGCCACCTGCTGCGCGTCATCGACCCCTCCTCCGGCAAACCCCTAACCCTGGACAAGCTCAAGGGCGAGCTCTCCATCTTCTACATCGCCGGCTTTGAGACCACCTCCCACGCCATCACCTGGACCCTGGGGCTGCTGGCCGCGCACCCGCAGCAGCAGGATGCCCTTGCGGCTGAGCTGGCGCGCGTCGGCCTCGCGCCCAGCGACGTGCACCCTGAGCCGCGGCCCTTTGAGTGGGGGGACCTCAGCCGGCTGCCGCTGCTCAACGCCACCATCAAGGAGTCCCTGCGCCTGTTCCCTCCCGTGAGCGCCGCCGTCGTCGCCGGACCCAATGTCTGCCGCCTGACCTGCCATCAATCGTACTTGCTGCCATGAATGAGCAGTACTCGCTGCAGCGCCCCAGCCAGCCTGCCGGGTTGAGGGCTACTGGCGAGGCAGTGGCTCTCAAGCGCCGGCCATGCGTGCGGCCTGCTGAACCCACACCTCCACACCACTCCGCACCACTCCGCACCACTCCGCACTGCCCCGCACCGCACCGCCCGGTGTGACCGCATGCAGGTGTCTGCCGGCGGCTTCCGCACGCTGCCATCGGACACCACCATCCTGGGGCGCCGCATCCCAAAGGTGCGGGGCGGGCAGGCATGCCCTGCGCCTTGCTCCCTGCGGTCCGCGGCGCCTCCCTTTCCCC